GAATCTTTCCTATCCTGCAACCCGTTGCCTACTTTGTCACCCCCCACCTTGTGACACTGCTGTACAGATGCCCGCATGACTCCCGTGTGCTTTTCCCTCAACACCCATCTTCCTCCTCTGGTATGAAAGTTTCTTGGGGGCAGTCTTCTTTGCACCCCCAGTATTTAGTACAGCGTCGACACGTGGTGGGCATGGCACTCGGTGACTGTTTTTCAGTGAATCCATGAATTTTTATCACCTGATTCCACCCGATTTTTTCCCATGTTGCCCACCTAACTATAATGAAATTCAGACTCTCGTAAGAGACACTTGGTGTTATAGCGTGCTTAGTAAAGGTGGTGAGTTTGAGACGTTATACCTCTTGGTGGAGAAACCCAATGAGCCTGTTCTCTGCTGTGCTGGCAAAACAAAAAACTGACCCTGAGGACTCCTTCCACGAGTGAGGCATCAGCAAATTGAGAGGAGAGAGGAGGCTGCTACAGATGGACGTCGGCGGCAACAGTTACTCAGCTCCAGACGCACCCTCAACACCTTCATCCATTCTAAAATAAAGTGTGTGAAATTGTATTTCTGAACCATGGGACAGATAAGATAGTCTTTTCCAAAGTCAGGTTTAGAGGAAGATCTTCACCTTGTGTCTAAACTGCCCCTCAGGCCATTGAACATACCCACTATGACTTGATATGTCATAGAGAAATCACGGAATTTTCCAGCTGAAAGGGAATAACAGGCTTCTTACTGAAGAACAGTCAGGAAAGAAAGCATATGAAATTAGGCTACAGCAATGTATGTTCTTTATGAACGTTTTCCCACACTACAACTTAACATAAACGCATCGTTTTCCATACCTCAAAGGTTCCTACTGCCCCCGGATAGTTTACTTCAGAGGTATATACTTTTTGCTCTGGGTGACTGGGGAGAGAAGTGCCTTGTGGTAAGTTTTCAGGAGTTCTTTCTGCTTTACCATTTAAAAGAAGCTGATGGATGAGGAAGGACCCACACTTTTGCTCCCTGGACAACTCCGTGCTAAACTTAGTTCTTCGAAGCTTTATTTTGCATGTCTTGAAGCAGTTAGGAACTTTGCACATGAGCAGGAATCAAAGTTAAATTCAAAAGTGAAATTTCAAGGACCATGCACCTATTGGAGAAGCATCATTGTCATGGAGTCCCAGGATAATGCTGATTTGGCTGTTATTTGCTTGGGGTCTTTTATTGCCCACACCAAAGCTGAGTCCTAGAGAAAGCGGAGTGTGCCATTTATGAGACAGACAAGTCTCTTGGCCTCTTTGTACCTTAGTTTCCCCATTTGAAGAAATGAATAGATTTTAAGACATACTTTTCAGAGTTCATACTAGGCTTATTACACCCACTGAAGCAATAACTGTATGGTGTTTTTACACAGTTATTTTTTTTTACATGTATTCATTTTCTATTTCACTTACAACTTGTGTAAAAACTGCATTCCATGCCAGGCCTGAAATGTTCCAAAGCTCAGTTCTGTGAGTAAATTGCAACCAAGATTTCTAAAAAAAAAAAAAAAAAAAAAGACACAAGGAAAAGAAGAACAAAAGATATTCTTTCAGAACATTTATCCTTTGGCAGGGATTCCAATTTACATATGATGAAACATAACCTCAATACTCTCTCCATAGACTGAAGAAATCTCACTATGGAAGATACTTTTTAAAAAAATTTTGCATGAAAGATTTATACTTTCATGTTTATACCTGTGGTGCATTAGATACAAATCAGTAAATGTTCAATAAATACTTGTGTTAAGTAATCTTTATTTCTCTAGAAAAATGTTTCACAACAACGGTACTAGTGACATCTATGGTTGGATCGTCTTTGTTAGGAGGGGCGGTCCTGTGCACTGGGGGTTGTTTAGCAGCATCTCAGGCCTCTGCCCACTATGTGCCGTAGCTCATCTACAGTCTGACAACCATAAATGTTTCCAGACACTGCCAAATGTCATCCGGGTGCAAAATCACCCCGGTTGAGAACCACTGCTCTAGAATGATTCAGTCTGATCTGTATAAAATTCTCACACTAATCTTTGCTACAAGCAAAAAAGATTTGCTACATTAATTTTAGTAGCTTTCTACTAATAAAATTTCAATCATATTTCAAAATGATTCTAACAAAGAGGCTTACAATTAAGTTTAACAAAAATTCCAAGTATAATGAAATTATATTTGTAACTTACATAAACTGCATAAAAGGTAGTGGTTCAAATGCACGTCTTTCAATAGATTGTATTTTATTGCAGGATAAATCTCTAGGAAAAGTAAAAGGAAAATATTGCCTCAATTATCTATTAGATATCTAATTAGTAGGATGACAGTATTGAATAAGTAGCTTTTGCCTACACTCTGAATCTCAGGAATTGTTTCTTGAACCTTCCAGAGCCCCTAACTCTACTTACCCTCTCCTCACCTCTCTTAAAAGAGTCTCACCTTCAAGATCTTCATAAATAAAATCCACAACTATAGATCTTGATAGATCTTGGAAGTAACCTCTCCTGAGAGCAGAAGAATTGATTAGAGGATCTTTTGTGGTCTCATCAATTTCTAGATTATGAGGTCAAGGTTTTTATCTCCACATATAATTATAATTTCTTTTTTCAAAAGGTTTATTTATTTATTTATTTCAGAGAAAGAGAGCGAGCGAGCGAGCGAGCGAGCACAAGTAGGAGGGGCAGAGGGAGAGGGAGAGAGAATCCCAAGCAGACCCTGCACTGAGCACAGAGCCCAAGCGGGGCTCCATTTCAGGACCCTGAGATCATGACCTGAGCTGAAACCAAGAGTCAGATGCTCAACCAATTGTGCCACCCAGGTGCCCCTTATTTTATATTTTTTTAAAAGATTTTATTTTTCTCCAGTAATCTCTATACCCAATGTGGGTTTCGAACCTACAACCCCGAGATCCAGAGTCACTTGCTCTACCAACCGAGCCAGCCAGGCACACCTTAACCATCATTTTAAACACCTATTTTTAATATTGGTATAAGAATTCCCACACTGAAATCCTTAATCTGTTCTCTTGGTAACTTAATATGTATTGATAATTGATAATACTGCTTACATAATTTACCTGCTTAGTTAAATATTTAATATTTATTTATTTTAGCTTAAATTATAAAAAAATTCTGGGTTAATGGCATTCAAATTAATCTAAGTGTTCTATATTTTCTTGTCCTGTAGGTGATAATTTGAGGTTACCTTTAATTCCTCTCATTTTATTAAACCAACTTTTAGAAACCTTTTCTGTAAAAGCCAGATAGTAAGTATTTTGGGCTTTGCAGGCCACATGCCATTTCTGTTGCATATTCTTCTCTTTCTCTTCTTTTCTCTTTTATAGCCCTTTAAGACTGTAAAAATCATTCTTCACTCATAGGCTGTATAAAGACAGACCATGGGTGGGATTTGATCCATGAGCCATAAACTAAATATAAATGTAAGCAGATGGTATATGAACACTTAGGAAACAAGGTTCCTATGGGTGTCCATAATTGCTCAGACCTCATTACCCCTTTCGCTCTGTAGGGTCTTTTTCTGTCTATATCTTGTATATAAAATTAAAAAAAATGAAAACGCATAGAAGATATTTAATGCTAGAGATGGGCTGGGGCCCTACAGACTTACAGAACTGTAGAATTTTATTGTTAGAAGGAATTGTCGCAATTATCTAATTTGCACCCCATATTTGTTTTATAGATAACTAAAAAGTCATAATAAATGATTAATTAACTTACAAATACTGGAGTGATAGTAGGCCTTCAAATGAGTCCTTATGTAATTCGGTCAAATAATTTTCCCTGAGAATTCTGAAAAATGAAAAGGTTATTTTTGCATCAAAATGCAAAATAACTACAACTATTTACTACCTAGGACTAACTTCCATATGGGAGAGGAAACCTGGGTAATGGTGCCCCCTAAATACACTAATTCTTATTTAATTTAGGAGTACTGATCTCTGCTCTGTTTCCATTCAAATCCTTCTTTTCATGTACTCCTTGTGTCCATCTCTCTCCATCTCTCTCTCCCTCTCTCTCTCTCTCTCTCTCACACACACACACACACACACACACACACAATCCTATCCACTCTTTGCACCAAAATGCATATTTAAAGCCTACTCTCTGGATCACAAAGTCTCTGCTAGAACCCAGCTCTCGGTGCCAACAACCCTGGCAGAACTGCCATTTCCTCCTCTCTCTTCCCAAATTCTATTCGGAAGCCCCATATACAACTATAGCAGTGTGGCAGAGAAAGCCATTCGTTTTTTTTCTCCCCGACTAAAAAATATTCTTGAGAACTAAAAAAATGTTCATTAATAAATGTTCAGTTTAGTAATTATCAAGCAAATACTCATGTAACACTATTCATGTCAAAAAGCCCTGCCTGCATCCCAGAAGCCCCCAGTGTGCCCCTTCCAATCACAACCCTCTCTCTGATTCCCCAGAAGTAACCACTATCCTGACTTTAATAATAATTTCCTTGCTTTTTGGGTTTTTTTATTTTTTTCAAGATTTATTAATTTGAAAGAGAGAGGGAGGGGGAGAGGGAGAGGGAGAGAGAGAGAATCTCTAGCAGACTCCCCACAGAGTGTAGAGCCCTGTCCCACGACCCTGAGATCATGACCTGAGCCCAAGTCAAGAGTTGGGTGCTTAACCAACTGAGCCACCCAGGCCCCCCCAATTTCCTCGCTTTTTAAATGTAGTTTTACCTAACATATGGCAGCTGTAAACAACATAATTTAGTTTTGCCTCTTCTTGAACTCTATATAAATGGAATCATATTTTATGTATTATTTTCTATGTTGCTTCTTTCATTCAACGTTATCTTATAAATTCATTATATTGTTGCGTGTAGCTGAGGTTGCTTCATTTCAATGCCTAGTATTGCATGTCTTGCTACATGTGGCTACCGAATACTTGGGAGTAGCTAGTGTGACGGAGGAGCTGAATTTTTAATTTAGTTAATTTCAATTATTTTAAAATTTAAATTAAAAAACTGATACTCAACAGTTATTAGAAAATGTTTAAATATGTTTGCAAGGATGTGAGGTTAGCTTTTCAACTGTAAATTTTATGAAATCTAAATACAGTCAAGTATCTCTGATAAGAAAATTAGTAACCAAATTGAGATTTCAAAGAGGCAGTATGGGAAAAAGAACATAAACTCTCTCATTAACAATTTTTATACTGAGTACATGTAGAAATGATAATATTTTGGATATTTTGAAGACAGTTTAAATGTAGACTATCTTATTAATAATGTATCTAATGATTACACGTTGAAATGATAATATTTTGGAGATAAGAGCTAAACAAAATATATTAACATTTATGTCATCTCTTTTTACTTTTAATTTTTAAGTGGCCACCAGAAAATTTGAGATGACTTGTGTGGCTTACATTATATTTCAAATGAATAGTATTCCATTTTATGACGATACCACACTTTATTTATTCATTCTACTGTTGGTGGATACCAGAGTTTTCTCGTTTTTAGTTATTACAAACAGTGCTGCTTTGAACATTCTTGTACTTGTGCCTAAGTTTCTCTAGGATTTAATAGGGGTACAAAATTATTTTCCGAAGAGGTTGTGCTATTTCAGGTTGGCCGATGGAAATATGCCAAGTCTCTACCCTCCCAACCTCCACCAAAATCCCTAAGAATGATAGAAAAGATAAATTTAAAAATCCACAGCCTTAGCTCAAAGCCACGGGAGTAGCTTCACAAACACTCCCCTCCTAAGAAATGCCCTGGAGCGACGACAGGGTGGTTAGCTGGGGTCGTGCAGGAGGGCAAGCGGTGGCCCGGCAACCCCGCACCCTTCCTCCTTGGACCAGGCAACAAAGGGTGTCTTCCTCCAGCCTGGAGCAGTTGGTGTTAGGAAAGGGCAGGGTCCCAGAACCCTGAAGGCAGGGAAGGAAGGCCCTCTCTGACTTGCCACTAGAAGTCACCTCCCACCTCTTCCTTAATTCTTAGGGGAATCCACCACAGAAAAACAAGCCCCAGCAGCTCATTCCACCTCTTCCCTAGTGCCAGAAAACAGAAGCGGTAGAATCTCAACTACAAAGATAAATTGCACTCAGCAATGACCAAACAGTATGAGAAAGCCAACTCCACTAAGGACAGAAAATAAAAACAAACATAAGAGCTCAAAGCCAATGAATCAAAGTTAACGGGGAAAGCCCAAGGGGAGTTTAGAATAGCATAATTAATATCCTCAGACAGGTGTAAACAGTACAGTAACTCAAGATTATATGAATGAAAAGTGTTATCATTAATAAAAAACTCAGTCTATGAGCAGCAGAAATTGTAGTTGAATAATTAGAAAACAGAGCTCTGGCTTCTTATCAGTACTTGAAATTATATCTATTTATTATATCTACATATTTGTTTTTATATTATATATTTGTAAACCCCTCGAGAACTGGGATATTTGGTCAATTTTATTCTGGAGCCTCTATCCCAGGCATGTAAAAACAGTTCCTGGCACATAGTAGAGGCTCCATAAATATCTGTTGAATGAGTAAGTGACAGGTATCAATATGCAAACATACTACCTTTATTTAAAACAAATTATCCATTTATTATCACTGATGAGGATAAGTACAACTTAATAAATAATAATGTCTTTATAATAATAATAAATTATAATAATTTATAATAATAATAAATGTCTTTTTCCAGCCCCACCCCTTAATTTGTGACACAATCTCAATCTTTTGAGACAAGAACCTTCTGAGAATTTCATAAAAGCTATGGACCTTTTCCCTAGAAAACTGCACCTTCTTGAATATGTGCAAAGGTGTGCACGTGATTTCAATTTGGGAATCATCCCTTCAGGGCACAGGTCTGTGAGGAGAATGGATTGAATTCGGAGGAGGGCCAAACTTGGATGGATAATAAAATGATATATCACATATTGGTTGTAGATATTTCAAAATATCATTTATTCTCATCACTACCTTGAAGTTTTAATTGTTATTGTACCTACCACTGTATCTTGTTATTTAACGTGTTAACAGAAGCAGGTTTATTGCTATATCACTAATCTTTTTTGAAAAAATATTTTGAAAACTGTATTTCAATATAATTTCCTTTTACTATATATTTTAAATTATTATACATTTAAAAACATTATCCCAAGAACACAGGCTTCTGCAGATCATCAAACAGATATATAGAAATAAAAGGTTAAAAATCCTGCCCCAGGGGACCAGTGATCCATAGTTAGGAACCTCTGCCTCAAGCTGAATTAGAAATCTGCAAATCTTACTGGATTCATGTTCTAGTATACAAACTCCCAAACACATGCTTTTGAAAAATTAATTTTTAAATTTCTATTTATTTTCTAAAAATATGTTTTATATATATGTATTCACATGGCTCAAAATTCAAAAGGTATATAGTACACAATTCAAAGTTTTTCTGCTACTCCTGTCCCTCAGCCTACCCATCGCCCTCCACTCCCTAAAGAAAAGTAATGTTATTTATTTCTTGGGGCAAATTACTTTCAGTTTTCTTACAAGTATGGGAAATAAAATCTCCAAGTCAGACACTATCATGGGGAAATACAAATTATAAATAGTATCTAAGAAATTCATAAAATAAAAGAAAATTTGCTTGGTTCTAGCATTTCTCCCTTACCAATAAGATATCAGACGAAGGGTGGGGATCTACTTTAGTGGGATCATAATTCCTATGTTTAGATTACTATGACTACTATGTCTTTTATTACTAATTCAGGAGTCATTTATGACTTATCTACTCAAGTTGAACTCATGATACGATACACAAGCTGTCATGAAAAATGCCAGTTAATTGCTTTGAGTGTAATGTTTTTTCCAAAATCATTTGTGTCTACATTGACTTTTTCTACAAATCAATTAAAAAAAGATAACAAAAAGTTGGCAAAGGACAAAAAATTCAGATAAGAAATACAAATGTTCAGTAAACAAAGAGAGATATTTAAATTTACAAGTAATCAGAAAGCTTCAAATTCAGATGAGACCCCTTTTATTCACCCATCAGATCAGCCAAGAAATGGAGAATATCCAGTGGCGGAGGGCTGTGAGGGTGTGACTGCTGTCACGGTCTACGCGTCGGAGTGTGAGTCGGCACAGCTTTTTTGAGGGCAATTAAAATTGGACATCTACCTAGTCTTCATCCCAACAATTCCATTTCTAGATCTCTATTCCACAGAAATCCTTGCCCGTGTACACAGAGATGCATGGATGAGGTGGTTCACTGCAGCAATGCGTGTGACAAGAAAACCGGACACAGTCTAAACATCCATCAATAGGGGAATTATTAAATTGTAATACATTCATACTGCGGAATATGACGCAGGAGTTTACATGAATGGGGTAACTCCCTATGTACTAGAAGAAAAGAAATCTAAGACCTACCATGAAGCAAAAGAATCGAGTTGTAGGATGTTACCACTTACGTAAAAAAAAGAAAGAAAGAAAGAAAGAAAGAAAGAAAGAAAGAAAGAAGAAAGAAAATGACACAACAAACCTATTTTGTTGTCTATAAATATGTATGTAGACAAATGCATGGAAAAAGGTCTGGGAGGATATATATGAAATCCAGAGTAGTGGCTATCTCAGCGGTGGGGGATCAGAACACAAGGAGGATGTTCACTCTATAGCTATATTCTTTCATTTTTATATATTGAGAATATAATCATGTATTCCTTGTATAATGGAACATAAGTTTAGATTGACTCTAATTTTAAAGAGAGCCTGCCAAATTTAACTTTTAAAATAAACACTGAATTACAATCGATAGCGGTTGAATTGCGATATGGAGGGGGAAATACCTTTCCTCAGAGCTACTGACTTCCAAATTCTGGACCAAGAAAGATCTTAGAATGCAGTTAAGTTTTTTGTATTTGTATTTGGAGAGAATATACTCACAGTTTCTCAGCCCAACGGTATGCCTTCCATATATTTTCATCAATGTAAGAAATAGAATTTCCTTCGAAATTTCTGTAAAGAAACACAGTTCAGATCCTTGAATAGGTAGGAAAAGAATGAACAGAGTAAGTAAAAGAAGCATTGGCAACCTTGTGGGGAATATTCAAATGCAGAAAATACCAGCATTCTAATTTCCACAGCTATCAGCATCCCAGTTTGCGCAATTAAGGAAGAGATGATGTGGGGCTGCTGGCGCAAACAAGGCATCTCCCTAGAACCTGAACTTCCTATCTTGGACAGATATTGCCAGTTAATTACTTTGACTATAAGTGTTTTTTCCAAAATCACTTATGTGTCCAAAATGGCTCCTTCGTAAATCAGTGAGAAAATAATAATCCGACAGAAACATGGCAAAAACGTATCACTATAGGCAAACAAAGGTAAAGAAATCCTAAACCAGGCAACACCAAAGCTTTGGCTCAGTGCCCTCTGTTGAAACCTCTTCAGCTGTTCGGATAAAGGAAGTTAGAAATTAGAGGAACTAATATGGAGAGATTTCTTAGACGTACTGCATAAGGAAAAGCAACAAATCACTGAGCAAGGAATAGAAGTATTACCTCATTAGGGGAAAAATTGCAAAGGAAAGCGATGGGAAGGAAGGACTCACACTGAAATGGTAACAGGAGTTATCTTACAGGTGGTAGGGAGGGTGGGGTGGGATTTTTACATTTTATCCTATATGCTTGTGCCATTTAAAAACAAACAAACAAACAAACAAACAAACAAAACCCCAGTGAGAGTGTATCCACGAATTGCATGTGTTTAAAAGAAGCCATGAAATGCCGGAGACTCCGTTTCATCCACTAACTCTATGTATTTTTACCTTTAGCTTTCCTCAGCAACAACTTACCTATTCAGTTTATAGACACATTTTTTTCTAGGGGAGTCAGAAAAGAAGGCAAAACAGGTACCCATCTGCCCATGTGCCTAGTGGCCATTTCCAGGAACCAGAAACCTTCTGGTTGCTTTATGTTCCCTGAGAAAAGATGCCTAAAGCTGAACTTAGCTCCCTCAAACTGGCTCTCCTTCCCAACTGCTGTGTTTCCACCTGTTCTTCCGCCATTGTACTGCTCATCCAGGACAAAAACTTCGAGAGTCATGTTTCATTTTTCTCTTTTCTGGACACACCCTACCCGCTACTCTCATCAGTTACTCAGTCTTGTTGCTTCTTCCTTTGCGGTGCTCTCAGGATTTTCTTTCTACTCCTATCACAGCCACTCTGATCCGGCCCCTTGTCATTTTACTCCCAGCTTTTGCTAGAGCATTCTATCTGGTCTCCCTAGATCAAGCTTTCCTCTCTAGATTGCTCTACATCGGGAATCAAAAACAATCCTCTTGTTTTAATGATATGTATGTCTTGTGGGAAAACTTTCAGTGACGCTCTATATCTCAGAGTGTAACTTTCAAACCCCTCTAGATGATAGTCAAGGGTTTGCACAGTCGTATCTTTCACAGCGTCCTAACCTAATTCCTAAGTCCTGATCGGTCTTGCAGCCGGTCTTGCAGCCGGTCTTGCAGACTTTGCCTAGACTATACTCCCTATTTTTTCTCTATTTAACAAATCATAGCCACTCTTTAAGTCTCAGCTAAAGTTTTAGCTTATCCATGCAGCTCTCCCTCACCTCCACACTCTACTGATTACAGATTTAGCTTATCCCTGCAGCTCTCCCTCACCTCCACGCTCTACTGATTACAGATTCTGGTGAATTACAGCACCTATGGTCTGTACTTAATCGTAGGTCACCTCCCTTTCTATGCCTGTTTCCTTTCTTCCCACCTATCATTTCACGTTCTAAAGACAATGTCATACTCTCATGGATCCCACAGTACTGAGTCCTGGGCTGGGCACAAAATAGGTGCTATATATAGAAGGCCAGGGGACAAAGATGAGTTCTGAACATGACTGAGGAGTCAAATAATAAGAGATAACACTCATATGTATGCTAGGCACCAATATAAGTGCTTTACCTGTATTAACTCATCTAAATCTCACAATAAGCCCACGAGATGGTAACTATCATAATTCGCATTTTACGGAAAAGGAAATTGAATCAAAAGCTATTAAGTGACAGACCTCGGTTCAAACCCAGGTGGTCTAGTTCCAGAATCTCTACTCTTAACCACTTTGTTGTATCACCTCCAATGAGATGGAGAGAAGGACATGTTGCTATAAAGAGGATGGAGCAAATATGGGAGAGTAGAGATTAAGGAATGAAATGATGGGGATAAAAAACTGGATAAGAAAAAGGAATAAGGACAATTGCAAGTAAAAGATTGGAGAAGGGGGAACAATAGCAAAGAGCAAAACAAAGATAAGGGACAGTTGACAAAGAAAAGGTAAAAACAGAAAGTCAACATGGGTTGGGGAGATGAGGAAGGCCCAGGAAGACCTCGAAGAAAAGGCTGCCATGGCAAGCAGGAGGCAGAGAACAAATGAGGAAAGGCAATACTTACAAGGTGGTGAAGGTGCCATTGTAGGTGCTGGGCTCTGGCACAGGCACTCTGTGGAGCCTCTGCTTTGGGCTGAAACCGGTACACGACAGCGTCTCATCTTTGCAGATACAGAGCTCACATATGTTGACGTTCGTGGTAGCATTCTCTTCTGGTTGCTCAGTTAAAGTTGCGTATGACTTTTCTGGGGTATATTTTACAAAATGCAGCACTGAACGCTGGGTCGTTGGGGGAAAAACTGTCTCAGATGACTCCGGTTGCGGACGTACAGTAATTTCCAGGTCCATAGGTGGAACCGTGACTTTAGTCAGGTTTGGATGTTGACTCTGAACCTGTTCTGGATGGGCAAGTG